CCCCCAGCTTTAAAGCCCAAATTTGCTGAATCTACAGAAATTTCAGAACTTGCCCATAATTTTATTATGGTAAATCTTGAGGTAAGACTTCCAGAGTTTCTCCTTTCTGTTTTAATCTTAAGTCTTCACTCTTTTAGAATTGCCATTATTAATAGCATAAAATCTTATTTAGCAGAGCTAGCTGCTTATATGTATGCATTTTTCTCTTGACCTTTAACACTAAGTCTTGTGTCACACATGGTAGAAAACTGTCCAGCCTCCACTTGTGGGAGGAAGTGGGCTAGATGGGATTGGATAAGGTGACTGAACTTTAAGGTCCCTTCATTCTTAGTCCATGATTATGACATGTTTTTACATCTTTGTATAGTAGCTGATCTAAAGGGATAGTCACACATGCAGGCTGTGAGTTCCTGCAAAATGTGATTCAGTCGAAAGCCAAGTCTGTCTGGGCTTGAATGTACATTCTATAAAATAATGTTTACTTAAACACAGTACTAGAAATTTTCTGAACACAGTAACAGTTAATGTTGTGCCAAGTCAATGATGTTTTGGGAATCAGTGAAGAACAAAACAAATTTTTTGCCCTCATTGAAATTACCTATGGGGACTTGAATACGGGGAGACAGACAAATATCAGATGGTGGTAAGTGCTATGGCTAAAATTGAAGGGTGGAGGGGATAGTTTGCAAACATGGTTATCAAAGAAGGTGACATTTGAGCAAAGATTTAAAGCAGAAAAGGGAGTGAGCCATAAGATAATGCGGGAAATGTGTCCAGGCATAGGGTAAAACCAAGTACAAAAGCCTGTGTTAGGAGCATGCCTGGCTTGTTTAATGACAGCAACTGCAAACAGGTTAGTGTGCTTGAAATAGCCTAAAAAGGGGTAGGACATGGAGTTAGAGAAGTACCCAGGTGGCAGATCATGTAGGGCCTCTTATGCCACTGCAATGACTTGGGGGTTTTACCCTGAGTGAGAGGAGAAGCCACTGAAAGGATTTGAGGAGAGAGGGAACGTGATCTGACTTAAGTTTTATAATTCATAGGATGAAGAGGAGCCCAAGGATAAAGATTTCAGCCCTGATGGGGGTTATATTCCACGAATTCTTTTCCTGGGTAAGGTGAAAGATCTTAATCTGGGGATCCAAGAGGTGGAAGGAGAGAGACATGACTCGGCACTGATTCCACCTAGTGAAACTGTACTGGGATGGCTAAAAACAAGAAACAAAAAGCAGTTTCAAGAGAGAGTGGGGAGAGTTCTGAGTGCCAGGACTTCAAGTCTGAAGGAGTTTTTCCCATTAACTAACTCCTTTGTGAGCAAGAACAGAGTATTGATCATCCATTTATTCAGTCAACAATCGTTTTATGTATCAGCTCTAAGTCAAGAACTTTGTGAGGCACTACAAGGACACAGATAAGCCACAATTCTTACCCTTGACACCATAGAGCAGCAGGGGTTCCATTGCCAAATGGAACCAGACAAATGTCTTTCCACAAACAATTTTATAAAAAATACTAATGACTGCCTAATCTTTACTCAGCATTCTGTTAGATTCTATGGGGAATGCAGATAAAAATATAGGAT